CAGCCTGCCTTAGACTGGGCTCCATTAATTAAGTCTGTTGACCCCTGGGCTAGACCACTGGAATCACAGGCAACCATGTGACAAACATTTGTTCAGGAATGGAAAAAGATTGGCATCTTTTTGTTTTAAAAGGCATTTCAATAATTGTTTATTTAGCAGTTTAAAGCTTGGTTATAATTTTTAATCAACTTATTCATACAAGACCAATGCACAACTCGTTGTTCTCTGGCATAGAAGGCCTTAGTTTTAATAAAAGATGGGCAATAATTAAAACATTCAATCTGCTGGAAACTCGATGATACTCACTAACATTCTTCTGATGGCTCTCAGAAAAAGAGGAGTCTCCGCTCCCTTTTCTTAATTAAACAAGCCAATTACACAACAAGCCATGGCAATAAAGAGTGAAGTTCCTTCCTAACCCCCATGGCATGTGATGGTCTCAAAAAGGATGTCCGGTGACCATGGTTATCTCAGATTTCTGTAATCCTGCAAAGAAATGTAGACGCTTACTCCTGTTCAAAGTACCAATGCTTTCAGTGGGACTTCTGGCAGGAGTTACATGAGCTACAGGATCCCTAAGTGCAAAGCCCTGTGCACGATGGAGCTTATACAGCTACAGATGTTATCAGCAGACAAGATGTTACCCAGCCATCAGCTAGATAGCACAATGGCAAGGAAGGTCACAGCTGTTCTCCTCTCCTCACCTGTCCAGAGGTGCTCTTCTGCCTCTTTTTTCTGGTGGCTGTGAATTCGCAGACTGTGGTGCACCACAGCTCCCTTTGCCTTCTAGAACAGACTGAACCATTGCCACTGGTAACACCGGGGGTTCAGCACAGGTACTGCAGCCACTCAGGGGGGCATCTGGCTCAGATGTGGCTTTCACTTCAGGACTAACCGGTTCTTCCTTTATCAGCATAAGGCACTTTTCCCTGAAGCAAAGGAAAGTCTCAGCATTGTTCATATGCTCAGCAGGGGCTTTGCATTCATGGGAAGGGCATGAGTGCGAAAAGGGCTGTTTCTACTTTTGATCCTACTGCCATGACTTTATTCCCCAGCCTTCATTCACACTGTATCCAGGAAAATGAACTCTACCTACACCTAAGTTTAATATATTTTGTATTACATGTAAGGAAAGCGGGGAGGCCACTTCTCATTAGCAAGATCTGTCAAGGAGAAAAGCTGGCTGGAGAGTCATAGATTTCAAATGTCAGATCAATGACAGGATATTTACATTTGATTTCACCTCACACACATTTTGATAAATACAACTGGGGATCAACCTTGGTGGTCTCTGCTGCCCAGCAGCTCCACTTGATACACAGCTCTTTCTGTGATACTGTGTCCCTTAAAGCTCAGTCGTGTTACAGACTACACAGCTACCGGAATTAAGAGAACTACGGTGTATAGTGTTTTTATTCTCCTACTACATTAACTTACCAGCTGGTGTGCTCCTCAGATTGCATGCTATGCAAAAGTAACAATGACCGAAGCTTTGCTATGTTATGGAGATATATAACCAGTTAAGTGAAATTCTTGATCCCAGGTACAATTCTGGGTCATTAACTAACTTCAGATGACCAGTCTACAGGGAATACCCTACATTAAGATGGTTGTTATTCTTTTAGTTGAAAATATAAAAAAAAAAATGAGTATAGTGAGCCAAATTCTCTGCTGGCATAAGGATCTTGAAATTATACTGATAAAAAGAATTAAAACACTGCAATTGTAAAGCACAACACATGTAGGTATATGCAGCACATGTGGTGGTACAAAAGTCACCAATGCTCATCTGGGATCATTTGCAGAATTTATTAATGTCAAGCTCCAAGTTCATCCTGGTAAAACCTTCATGTCAGAAGTTCATCTTAATAAAACCTTTATCAGACTCCACACCATTAAGCATTCATTATATCTTTGTTCTCTACAAAATGAATATGTACATATATGTAGATAATTAATAAATAAATTGCCAGTAGATGGCACTCAAGACTAAGCAGCATTGTTCATAGGCTTCCCAGGAGTAATTTAACTGAAAATGGCTTCCTGAGTGTAGATCTCTACCTGAAACTCTTAACATGCTTTCAGGAAATTGTATGGTGGTCTGGTTTCACCTGGTATATCTATGAGCAGATCTTTTCAGGAGAATAACTGCCTTGTCTATTCTCCTGAGAAAATTATTCCATGACTTCCATCATTCTTGTCAGTTTACACATTGTTAGTGCTTTTAATATTGACACTAGCTCTAAAATCCCTTACTGTCTAGAAGCAGGAGTTAAGCTCTGAAATAACTCTGTATTTCATGGTTGAAAGTTTCTGGAAATTTTGTACATTGACCTAAAGGTTTAGACCATTTGTTGCAATCTTGTTTTTATTTTCTTATCACCAGGAAGATGATTCTATTTCTTCCTCATCAAAACCAAAACGAAGCTTACTTTTTCACATAGATTCTTAAAATAAAACCAACATAGTCAGAGATCTCATTTTCTGACAAGGACTGAAATAGCCAGTTTCTTAAGAAGAAAGTATAGATAAGGAACTATGGAGAACTTCTCAAGGAAGTGTGTGGTAGTTCCCAGCACAAAGCCTACAGCTTCATATTGGAATTTATGCTCAAATATGTCACAATCTGGTTCTGAAAGTTTGATAATATCTGGTTCTGAAAGTTTTGTGTGCTGTAAAACAGACAAAATAGCTCTCCATAAAGAGGCAGGGCAGCTGGTGGTGACTCAGATGAAGATACTGTAGTAGAACTAAAAGCTGGCAATAATCTATTCTGGTCATTTTCCTAAATTTATGATCATGATAATGTTCATTACCTGTTATCATCTGCAGGAGACTGCATTGTCGCTATATTAGGTGGTGATGCTTCAGTAACATCAGATATAATAGGCCCTCCAGCAATAGTGGGACTGTTTAAACAAGAGACAGGTTCTGTAGACGGCTGAAAAAAATTATGCAAAATTATCATTTTGAGACACCAAAGGAAATAAGTAGCAAGTTCATTATGTCAGCTATGCAGGCTCCCAGGAGGAGACAGAGATGGATTAGCACAGGAATTTTGGCTGATTTTCACCCAACTCCTTGAACCTACAAGAAGCCCAACAGATTGGGAGAAAATGATGCACTCTTGATTTCTTCAACTTCCATTGAGGTGACGCAGCTACATCATTCCTAATTGGGCTGTAGCAAATAGGCAAATGCTACTTATCATTGCCAAGCACAGTCTGGTTAAGTTCAGTGGAACTTCATTTAGAAGGAAAAAACTGTTGTTGAGAGTAACAACTTATGTGATATGTTAGGCAAACCTTGCTTATGATGCTCTTGTGAGGAGTTTAGTTGAAGTCAGCAAAGCAACTAGTGAGACTCCTCACATGAAGAAAATGGACTGGGCCATACCTAAAATACAGCACAATAAGTATGTGAAATCTTTCAGCTACCAACCCTGAAATTCAGCTGTGCAAATAACTATTTCAATTGAAAAAACAACAACAGGGGGATTTAGTTCCATCAAAATCCTTTCACTTCCCCTTGGTGGAAAGATCCATGAGCATTTAGTAGAATCATAGAAAATGTAGAGCTCGAAGGGACCTCAGGAGGTCATCTAGCCCAACCTCCTGCTCAAGGTAGGATAATCCCAATATATATCATACCATACAGGTCTTGGTCTAACCTATTCTTAAAATTAAACTAACAACCCTGTTGTACAACTACCAAGCCATTTTGGGTAAGGTGTCCATACTTAGAGAGTCTGGGGTGGCATTCAGGGTCTTATCTTCCTAAGTTATTAGGTGCTTCTGAAAATCCCATTGCAAAACTCTAAGCCTGGGAGGACTCTAACTAACCACTGAAGTGTAGCCTAAACTGTAGTCTGTCTAGGCCACTCATAACCACAGGCTTGGCTAGGATGACGCTGGGCAGTGCCCCAGTTGTCTTTCTGTGAGCTAGCTACAACTAGGAAGCAGTGGCCAGAGTTGGGTCAGTCACCTGAGCAACGAACATCAAGCTTAAGCTATAGCACTAAACCATGGACCACTGCAGTGAAATAGTTAGACAGGTGCTGTTTTATTACAGCGTGGTATATGTGTGAATAAACACATGACTACAACTTAGTCTAGCATTTCTCTCTCTCTCTCTCTCTCAACTTTTAACTCTCTCTCAACTTTCAACTCTCTCTCTCAAATTTCAACATTTCCCACAATGCAAAGAAGATCCATGAAGGAAAGAAGGAATGAAAAGAAGATCTAAGTTGGAAAACTGAACCTACCGACTGAATGAAATAGGAGTCATGAAGAAGATCCACAGACAGGTGCCGACTGAACTTGGACACCTGGGGAGCTGAGCTACCATCATCTAATATCAGAGGTCTGCAGAAAAAGGGAAGAAAGATTTTAGCTCTAAGGCCTGCCTGCAAAGGACTTTATTGGAATTGGAAATCTTCCATTGCACTGTTTTACAGAGGATGACTGCTGTATTTTACATAATTCTGGAGGGTACAATAATGGGGGAGGGGGTAATACCACTTATCCCCCCCCCCCAGTCTTCATTAGGCTTGTCTTCCATCTGATGCCCTGATGCTTGATGACATCAAGAAATTATTTACTGAGTTTGCAGGAAGCATTAATGCTGTTAAAATAGATCATCATGTAATCCAGGTATTGTTAACTTCAGAGCTTTTGTGGCATCTCAGCATACAAAGCTTCCTGCATCTGTGTGTCCCACATCTAACTGGAAAACAGGGCTGCCCTATAGCAAAAGGTCACTAAGGGAGGGAGGACAGGGAGGGGGCAGAAACCAACAGACTGTTCAAATTTTTAACTGATCCTAATGGTTTCTGCAATTGGGTGGGCAAGATCCTTGGCCAGTGGAACTTGGTACAGCTGCACTGGAGTTAGGGGTGGCCATACTGATTGAAACCAGATGAGAATCTAGCCCATTATCTGATTCTACATGAACTTGCTTGTCCCCTGCCCAAAGGTTTTTTCACTGGCAAAACTGTTTCATATCTAGTACTACATAAAAAGAAGCAGTGTCCTATACTGCAGATACAAAGCAGAGCACAGCCCAGGTGTGCTATATATGGATTCTTCCAGAATGGCCGTGACAAGCTTTTCCGGACAAGCGCTGACAACAGCAAACAGGGCTGTGTTTTGGGCCCTGCATGTGGATGCCTGGGTTTGCCACTGAAATCAAATAAGCTGAAGGGATGAGGGACTTAACATCAGGAACTGCAAGTGGTGCTGACTGTGTGAGTACAGAAGCGGCTTTGGGAAAGGAGGCCGAGAAGGAGGTGGGCTGCCCAGAGCATGGTGGGATATTGTAGAGCTGGGTAGTTAGACTGTGCACATAGTTCCGTTACAAAGTGGAAAAGTAAATGGCCTGGCTCCATAAGGGGCCCACATGAATACAGTGGGGTATACTTCAACCTGCGTTATGGTACAGCAGGGGGCTTTCTTCAGCCAAGGCCAAAGTAAAGGACTAGAACAGGGGTTAGCAACCTACAGCCTGCAAGCTGACCCAACCTGCAGAACCTTTGGATCCAGTTTCTGGACATGGGGCTTTGGCTGTAGGCACTGCCCCAGTGCCATCACGGAGAAAGGCAGTGGCAACAGCAGGGTCCTAAAGCCTACCCACCGGCTGCTTCTCACCCAGGTCGGGTCATTCTAACGCATAGGCAGAAAATGTTGCCTATCCCAGATCTAGAGCATGAATGCCTTCTTAGTTCCATCTCTATGGATCATTCCCCACCATACCCACAGGATGTCTCTTTTTTAAGGGCTCATTCATTGTTCAGTGGCTTGAATGGAAGCAAAACATACCCAGGAAATGAGTACTCAGTAGTATTCAGGATTAGCTTCTTGAGTGCATGATGGAGAGGGCCTACTAACTCCCCACAGCCACCCCAGCCTTGTTGTCCTGCAGTAAGGGAAGATTTCTGTGGTCCTTCCAGTGTGAGGGAATTAGCTTTCTTGCCAGCATTTTGATAGGATCTATACATGAAGCTGAAGTCCTGGCGCCACTACCGCAAACTGAATTCAGTTTTACCATTGACTTCCAGGGAGCAGGGATTGGTTACAAGCTCAGGTAGTAAGCAATCAGGGCAGTTCTCTACAGCTGTAAGTTCCTGAGATAAACTGAACATTTGAAAACCATGCCCGTAGTTTGGTCTTCTTCAGTGAGCAGCTAAAGTGACTGCAGCTTCCAGCAAAAGGAATCCATTTATTTGCTCTACTCTTTTGTCTACCCAAAAAAGAGATGGGACCAGCCTGATTGATACAGACAACATCCTCAGTAAGTCTGACTCATTTCCCTAATAAGACAGCAGTAAGAGATCAGCTTCTGGGCCTTTTGGCCAAAAACAACTAAACTCCCACAGTTTCTTTCAATAATTATTTACTTCCTCCACAGTCTGGCCCATGGCAATATCTCTTGGGCAGCAGGGCTTTCACAGAACAGGGCACAGCCTTGATCCCAGCCGGTCACTCAGTCCCAAGTGTCTGTGTGGTGCATCAGAGTAGCTACTTGATGATAAAACTCATTTTTCCTCCTCTATTCTGTTTTCATAGAGCAGATCCTCATATCTGAGGTAAAATATAACAACTCCATTCATACATCTAACACAGTTAACAGCAGCTAAAGATCTAACCCCTAGTTTTTTCCATGTTGCCATTCTCTGATCAAAGGACGAAACTTAGCCCGCCCAATGGGTTAAGTCAGCACTTATACATGTATATGTACAAATATGTATATTTGTCAAGAGGCCGTGTTCTTTTCATCTGGATGCCTCATAAGACTTGCCCCTTTTGCAACAGACACAAGCAACAAGACAAGATTTCCTTTCCTGTGCTTCAAACTATTTCCCACCCTCTCTGGGCAAGAATTTCGAAAGTGACAAACATTTATGGGAACCTCAGCCTTTTTTGGTGGGGCAGGGCAGGGAAAAGGCCTTCACTACACAAAAAGTGACACATTTGAAAAATTTACCCAGATTCTACCTGTCGGAAGCTCATGTGTAGATTTGCCAACACAATATTGAACAAAAAGCAAGACACCCTGTTTCATAGTTGGTAGGGTCAGAAGGGACCTGAGCAGATCATCAAGTCCAACCCCCTGCCACAGGCTGGAAAGAGTACTGGGGTCAAACAAACCCAGCCAGGTGATTATCCAGCCTCCTTTTGAAGACCCCCAGGGTAGAAGCAAGCACCACTTCCCTTGGAAGTTGGTTCCAGCTCCTAGCCGCCCTGACAGTGAAGTAGTGCCTCCTGATATCTAGCCTGAATCTACTCTCAGTCAACTTATGGCCATTATTCCTTGTAACTCCCAGTAGTGCTCGGGGGAACAGGGACTCCCCCACTGCCTGCTGGTCCCCCTTGGCCAGTTTATAGATGGCCACCAGATCCCCCCTCAGCCTTCTCTTGTGGAGGCTGAACAGGTTCAGGTCTTGTAGCCTCTCCTCGTAGGGCCTGCCCTGCTGCCCCCTGATCGTGCGAGTGGCCTTCCTCTGGACACTCTCGATGTCATCCACATCCCTCCTGAAGTGTGGCACCCAGAACTGGTCACAGTACTCCAACTGCGGTCTGACCAGTGTCGCATAGCGGGGGAGGATCACCTCCTTGGACCTGCTTGTGATGCATCTGTGGATGCATGACAAGGTGTGGTTAGCCTTCCTGACTGCATCCCCACATTGGCGGTCCATGTACATCTTGGACTCAATAGTGACTCCAAGATCCTTTTCTGCCTCTGTGCTGATGAGAGGGGAGTTCCCCTGCCTGTAGGTATGCTACTGGTTTTTTCTCCCTAGGTGCAGTACCCTGTACTTGTCACTATTGAATCCCATCTTATTCTCATCTGCCCATCCCTGTAACCTGTCCAGATCTAGTTGTAGCCTGTCCCTCCCTTCTAGCGTGCCCACTTCTCCCCACATCTTAGTGTCATACGTGAATTTGAACAAGGTGCTTTTCACCCCCTCATCCAAGTCACTGATGAAGATGTTAAACAGTGCAGGCCCGAGGACCGAGCCCTGGGGGACTCCACTGCCCACATCCCTCCAGGATGAAAATGACCCATCCACCACCACTCTCTGAGTGCAGCCCTCCAGCCAATTGATGACCCATCTGACTGTGTAGGCATTGACACCACAATCTCCTAATTTTTTATTGAGAATGGGGTGAGAGACAGCATCGAAGGCCTTCCTAAAGTCCAGAAAGACTACATCCACTACGATACTTGAGTCCAAGGATTTTGTGACCTGGTCATAGAAGGCCACCAGGTTGGTCTGACAGGACCTACCTCTAATGAACCCATTCATTACCTGATCCCTATTTTGCAGGTGGGGAACTAAGGGCCAGAGAAATTAAGTTACTTGCCCTGGGCCACAAAGGATATTGGTAGCAGAGCTGAGAACTGTACCTAGCACTATCCTCAGATTGAACTATATAAAACCATCCATTCACCCCAGCCTTTCATAATACTGCAAGAAGTGATGTGGGACAGGAGAAGACTCCATTTTGTCTTGCATGATGTTGAACGCACTGTCAGTGCTTAATAACAGCAATAAATTCTAACCAACAAAAAGCACTTCAGGGAGAGGAAAGTCACAGTGGAAAGACTTTTCAGGGTAGTGTTCAGTGCTTTTATTTTGGAAAGGACAAGAAGTGGGATTATTTTAATTGATATACAGAAAAATGATGGTTTCAGGAAACCTTAGTACATTAAAAAAAAAAAAAAAAGAAAGTAGCCAAGCATATTAAGCTGCTTGAAAAACTGGACCTGGTTTTCAGTGACAGATAGCTGAGTTAGTATGGTGCTCCAAATCCTTCCCACAATGAGCTGGCCTATGGGTCTGACTTCATAGGTTAGCCCATTCTTTCTGCATCTCTTTTTTACCGAGTGTTCTCATCATCACTATTAGTTACAAAAACACCAAAAACAAGCCAACCCCTTCAACCAAATCTTGACTGGTCTCTCATTCTCATTAGTTATTTTTAAAAAGAATAGAAGTCTGGTTAGTAATAAACATCTTGAGAATATAGTAAAGCCAGTTGGATTACACCCATTACATCCGTCCATACCAAATGTGTTTTCGTCTCTATTTCCATGAACCACCTGGGCTCTGAGGCTTGTAAGTGAAGCCAGCTATCAGAGAGGATTTGTTCTAGAGGTTACAACCAGTGGAACAGCACAGTCTCTGCACTCTGTCTAGCCTGTATGGAAGCAAAGAGACTCTGCTTATTGCAGGTGACAATACTTTATTAACTCTTGGATTTTTTGACATTACAGAATGTCATAACATTCCAAGACAAAGTCCTTTAGAAGCAAAATGCTTTCATTTAAGAGCTGCATCAAGTTACAAAGCAGAGAGCCAAAGTGCCTTTCCATCTGCTTTGGATTTTTCTTGACAAAACCTGGAAAAATTCTGTTGTCATTCTTTCAATTCCTACTCTTACTGCTCAATGTCACCACTGCATCAACCACAGATCATGATCCCAGACTGGAACTCTGAATGCAAACACACTTGTACATGAGGAAGTTTGCATTTGGATCTAGGCTTTATAGCTCTGGCCCCTTTCTAATCTTCTACAGACAGCTCAGTACAGGAAAGACTAGCCTTGTTAGAAGTAGAGCCCAGTGCTACAAACACCTGCAAGTGATGGTGACTCTTAGCAAGAACGATTTTTCCTTCACCAACGGTCATAACTAAAAATAAGTGGACCTGATTCTTCTCTGGTTTACTCCATTTCTACAATAGTGCAACCTAATTGACTTTAGTGGAGTTACTACAACTTTACACTGATGCTAGTGAGAGTAAAGTTAGGTCCCATCTTTCACCTGTGCCCATCATTGTGGTACTGGTACACATTGGGTGAAATTCACCATTGGCACATTGCCCATTTAAGAGCACAAAATAAGGCATACATTTGGTATTCTGTACATGGAACAAAGCTTTGTAGCCAACCAACACATGCTTATTCCTAAGTGAAAATACACGTAGGTGAGCACTGCAAGAGCTGCTTTCCATCAATGCCTCCCATGTGACAATAAATTAACATGGACATTGTAGAAGTAGAAAACACACCTGGAAGTTAAATGTAACCTGAAATATTTTACATGCATTCTAGTTAAAGACCTCATTTTAAAGAATAGGCTATTTTAGTTGGCTGGGGCCCCATTCTGCTTCCACTGGTGCCAATGTCAAAACCCCCATCAGTTTTGCCAGGATCAGGCCCTCGGGCTCACTCTGTATTACGAAAATGAAGGTCAGCAAGCTGACATGGTGGTTCTCTAAAGGCCACTGAATGAGGACGGTCAGCAGGTCTGACTCAGCAGCTCAACCCCATTCAATTGTCATCACTATGGTGTCCAAGTCAGGTGACCTCCACCCCACACTGAGCTGAGTTTGTGCTTTTAATGAAGTGTGAGCATTATCTATCTGTGTGCATGTGTGCGTGCCATGCAAGGGTACTTACAATTTTCTCTTTATTCCCACACTGCTGGGGTTTGATTGGAGCTGGCCAAACAGAAACTGAATCAGCTGTCAGTGGAAATCAAGTCAGGTGTTAATCAGCACAATGATTCAGCATTCCATCCTCCACAGCATCCTTCTTATTACGCACGTTCCCTCATTTTGCACAAACCCCAAAGAACTGGAGCCTGCTCTTTAGAACAAGGCATGAAATATTTGAGACAGATTGGTGAAGAGGACATTGTTTCAACAGGTGCAAAAGCAAGACAGGAACTTATTACAGGCTTGATTTTCAGCAAGTTTTCATGTGCATAGAATTGAGCATTACCTTTTCACACACACTACTAGCCATACGCACATAGGCCTAGCTCTCTCATTATGTGCACATGTGAGTCCCCATCTAGCACCATCACCTGTAGTAGCATGTGAGCAAAGGAAGCACATAACTGAATGTATGCAGATGCTGATGGCTGAGAATCAGCCTCTCCCTCAAGCCATGGGCTATTTTGCAAATGAAAAGGCAGTCCCTAAAGAGAGGGTCTGAATTAGGGATCTCAGCCATTTCTGATGGATTTTTCAATCCTACTGAGCTCAACCTTTCTAAATCAGACATGATCCATGATGCAAGAATGCTTTTACAGTGAGAAATCCTTCATGGCATAGCACCATCTTGCTAGATGACTCAAGCCAAATATCACTATAACTTGCATCCATCTATTATAGGATAAGTAACAGTAGTGTCAATGCAACTACTGTGTATGCAGAACTACTGCTGCAACATTATTTTAAAATCAGAGCACTACTCTTCTTTGCTGGACAGGAAATCACTGTAAGCTTAGTCACTTCGCTCCATAATGGAGGCACTGGGAAATTTTGCCTTCCCAAATAAGAACAATATATCTTAGAAAGACGATTGTGATCATGTCTAGTCTGACCTCCTGCATAACCCACACCATAACATTTCATCCAAAAATTCCTCAACCCTCCTGATACTTTGGGGGCAGAGCTCTTCATGGAGCTGCCACAAAGGCAATGGAGGACAGTCACCTTTACAGGATATGTGGTGTGCTCCTCTGGGCAACTGGCCAGTGCTGCTATTCAGGAATTTCAACTGTGTCAGGAGTTGGGTGGCCTTTTGCCCCTTGATGCCCCTGCAGTAGAGCACACTGTAGGCCTGTCTTGTTTGACCTTTGTGAAAACAGTGACCTTCTGTTTCTCTTTCTGAGTACAAAACTCATTGTGAATCACCAGACAGAGGTGCAGATGCAGTTTTTGATGGAGAAGCAGGAGAAAGACAGGCATACGTCAGCTGCTGTTAAAAGCCACAAAAATGTACCTTTTCAAATCAAGCAACATTGCTGAAGTATTTGAGGTACTCCTGATATTTAGTATTGGTTCCTGTGAGGGCAGAATCAAGGATCTTAGGTTTAAGGTAGCACTGTGCAATATCTGCTCTCATTGACAAGTGCTTTTATGCCCACTAACCTCAATATCATTAGAAAATGCCATTGGGATGAGGGAGATTACCATCCTCTAGCCCTCAAGTGCAGCATATGGATAGGTTTTATAAACACCTTCTAGTGACTTAAACAATCTGGGGAGCAATCTGAGGAGCCCTAACATTTGCAGTGAACACTTGCTTCCTAACCTATTCATGTTTCTAACTACTGCTATACAAAATGGACAGTAAATAAAATGCACAATCTCCTTCCCACTGAAATTAGTAAGCCCTCGCCATTGATTTCACTTGAAAGAGGCTCAGGCTGAAAGCGTTTGTGACTCCAATACATGGTTTCTTAAAGTCACTGTGACCACTAAGAAGTCATGCAAACTCATTTTCTTGAGGATATTACTCTTCTTTATGCCTGGTCTGAGTATGAACTTCCTATTGCTATCCTGAGGCTGCAGAGCTGTAAAACTGGATAATGTCAAATGGGATAATTAGCCTCATTTTGACATGCCTACAGCTCCTGTTAGCATTTATGACAGCCATGTGCAATGCAATTAGGAAGAGGAGGAAAATACAGAGAAAGAGAAATATTATGGAAGGTCTGGAAGGAGGGGAAAAATTACTTTTTTAAAGCTATTGGCTGCTCTGCAAAACAGTGCAGTAGAGCTCTGAACTTATCTGATCTGAACTGGTTTGACTGCTACCTTGTTGATCACTTTCTGTTGCTGTGAATGATTCTGCCTGAGGGATACAGCTTCCCGCCACAGGACTTCATTCTGTCTGAAAGTGAAACAGAAACACTCCCTGAGCACACAAACACCCATTACTTTTTTTTTCCTTCGGGTTACAGAGAAAAACTTAAAAATACAAACCTTAAAGGGCTCAAACAGTGAAAAAGCTTTCTTTTGGTCAAAGCAAGCAGCTATTTCATAGTTTCATAGTAGCTAGGGTCAGGAGAGACCTGAACAGATCATCTAGCCTGACCCCCTGCCACAGGCAG